ACCATGCCCAGCTAATGTTTTGTATTTTTAGTAGAGACGGGGTTTCACCATGTTGACCAGGATGGTCTCGATCTCTTGACCTCGTGATCCACCCACCTCGGCCTCCCAAAGTACTGGGATTACAGGCGTGAGCCACCGCGCCCGGCTTGCAGTGAGTTATAATTGCACCTTTGAATAATCACTGCACTCCATCCTGGGCAACCTAGGGAAACCCCATCTCAAAAAGCCTAAAACAAGAAGAAGAAATGAATGAGTTGTGCTTGGGATTTCATGAGGAACATCCTGGCTCTAAAATTAATGGTAATTTTTTAAAAGTATATATTACCCCTAAATTGACCTGATCTGATAGTCAAGAATGTTGGCACAAAACGATCCAGATCAAATGAGAAAAATCCGAATGTTTGAGCTGAAACAGTAAGTTTTATTCTGCTGTCAACATCTTTTATTTGACAACTTATATTGGTTAAATTGACTTTGAAAATATGTAGTACTTAAGTTCTCAATCTAAAGTAAAAATTTGAATATTTAGGCTTTCAAATCTGAGACAGCTTGCCGCAGTGAGCTAATACATGAGATTTGTATTCCTGGGAAGCTACTGAATGTGCCAAGTGGCAGCGTAACCAACCATCAGGACATCCTTGCTGTTGTTTACTGTACGTGGTTTAATTCTGTGCGTGATATTTCTCTGTTGATATTAATATAGGTCTCTCGGCTGCTGGGGGCATTCCACAACCCAAAACAGGTGACCAGAGGTTTTGCTGGTGGTGTGAGTATAATTATGTTTTTTATTTTTTCCTTTTAGAAGTTTCTCAAGAAAGATGCTCTAATATATTTATTATATAGCCTTTTATCTCCATTCATTTAAAATTAGGGAAAGTTGGCCGTATTTATAATGTATGTTGAAATTATTGGCTGACACGCACGAATCTATTAGGTCACTTGCACATTTGAAGGAATTATCTTCCGGCTGGCTATGTAAGTTTGTCACATTAATATCTTGAAGGAGCCTTGTTAAAAATAGATAGTAAGTGCCCTTGAGCCTGTTATTTTATTTCACAATCTCATTTTGGTGACACCGTCTTTTTCAAAACTAGTACAAGTTAAGAGAAAATTGTTGAGAAGCTTCAAAACCTGCTTTGCATTTTTATTTTATGAGCTTCCCTAAAACCAGTAGATTTGAGTGCAAGTTAGGAACGCCTCAATTATCTATGAGCCCTGTAGGCTTCTGCTTTCCTCATATAGTTTTTGTAGACTATCACAGTAGTAGATCATCTATTGTTCATTAAATCTGCTGCTTTTAGAGTTCCCAGCATTAGAGTTTTGTGCTTTAAAAGCTGACCACATTTTTGGAACATTCTGAGACTGTGAGTCAGTGACTTCCTATTTTTGTTTTTATTCCCTCCCCCTTTTTACAGAATCTGATTTGAATTTCATAATTCCTATACTCCCATATAACATCTATGCCATGAAAGATTTACAAGACTGTAGTACATTTTTTCCTCTACTTACTTTCTGTATTGTGGAAGAAAAGTAGATTTTCCGGTGACTTGATGACATTTATTACTACATGTTGGGAGAACAGGAAGAAGTAGCCAAAGAGTTCTTTTGGTTCTGCTTATGCCAAAAATGCAGGCTGGGACTTGCACTTCAAGCTCAAGGACAGCCATGCTAGCATTTCAAACACGTTCTGGAAGCTAATGAGATGATCACTGCTCTCTGCTATTATTTAGTTTTCAGGCTATTTATTTGAAAAAAAAAATTCATCTGATGGAGGTTATTTTTGAAGAAATAAGAGGATATATTAATTAAAAAAAAAAATTTCTTCAACCCAGGAAAACTGGTATGAGTCTTAGCCCTGGCTAAGACTGAGGTGGGAGACTTGCTTGAGGCCAGGAGTTCGAGGCTGCAGTGAGCTGTGGTGACACTTGTGAGTAGCCACTACACTCCTGCCTGGGAAAATAACGAGTCCTCATCTCTAAAAAATAAAAACAGAAAATTTAAAAAATGAGAAAAAAAAAAAAAAAAAAACTATTTCTTCAGTTGTACAGAAAAAAAATCAGAAATAATTAGTCCATCTATCTGGGGAGACCTGATTGTGAAGCAAAGGACCAACAAAACTTAAATTAGTGATTTTTAAAAAATGCAATTCCACCAACTGGAATTGAAAAAAAGCCAAGCCCCTAGGAGGCGTAAAGTCCCAAGATAATAAAATATGTGGTTCCCAAATGGAAAAAGTGGTACCGATCTTCTCCCCTTACGTATTTTTATTTCTGCGTTTGAAATGCTGGCTTCATTTTGCCTGAAGTCTTAGAATAAATCATTGTTGTTACATTATAAAAACACGAATTTGTTGTTCTAAGTGTAACTCAGGCTTTGCAGGTATGATCACGTTTACTCTTTGGTGGCAGATCAACTTTGCAAGCTTATGTAGATTGATTACTCTTAGATTTAAGCAGCCAGTTTGTGTGTGTGTGTGTGTGTGTGTGTACACATTTACTTTTATTGTAACAAAGCAACTTGTACACTTTTAATGCTTAAAACTGAGCATCATCTTTCCTTTCCAGTGAAACAAAAAGAAACATTTTTAAGAAGCAGGAACAAAATTGCAATAGAGAGTGTCAATTCCAAATAAGATCCTACAGGTTCTGCTGATTCTCACAGTGAATGGCAGGGCTCAAGTCGTCATTAGGATATAATTTATTTTAAAAGTGTCATCTTAAACTGTAAGAATGTCTGTCAAATATCACAAACATGCCAAAGGAGAAGCCATGTTATCATAATGCCCACTTAACCCACCCAAACATCTCAGACCCACCCTTTCCTGACCTTCTATAATCCCATTTTTAAAAGTTTTTTTTTTTTTTTTTCTTTTTTTAAACAAGAAAAAGTAGACAGATGCATGTTGGTAAATGCTGTCCATATTCACATAGAGACACAGTGTACTCTCTGAGCCCAATATAGAGAGGAAGGAGGAAAAAGGCTAGAATTCTATGCACTACTACACAGGGGCCTAGCACCCTCCAGCTTCCAGCAGAGTGAAGGGAACAGGTTTTTCCTTTTTCCCCGCAGAGCTCGGTGTTATTGATCCCATACAGTTTTGTTCAGACAGGAAGGGATAAAAATGAATTTTGAACAGAAGAGGGTAGAGACTCTCTTCCCATTGTATTCAAGCAGCCAGTTTTATAGACGAACTAAGAAAAAATGGAAGCTGTCTCTTGATAGAAAGTCTTATTTCCCCTGAGTACATAAATAGACCTCAGTAGTATTTTGGAAGTATGTCTGAAAGTTTTTTTGCAAGACTGAAGAAGCTGCATAAGAAGCTTTCCAGGATCACAATGGAAAGGAAAGGAAAACACTTGGCTTCATGAGAAACATTAAATTTTAGGGAGAGACCATTGTTAATTTTTTTTTTTTTTTTTGCTTTCTTTGGTTTTAAAGGTTTGAATTAATTGGTCTCTTTGCAGCTTGTCTGAAAAGAAATATCAATTAGGAAATCTATTTGGTAATTTAATTTGTTTTTGTTTTATGTAAAGACTATCATTTGGGTTCTTTTTTTTTTTTTTTTT